AAAAAAAAAAATATTTCAAAGGAACGTTTTTTACTTAGAACTTAAATATCTACTATGCACTTATAAATATTTTTCCTTTTTCATTTAATCACATTATTTTACTTTTATAAATATTAATTAAAGTATTAATTTATAAGCCGTTATAACAGTAGATTCCGATAAACTCTATTAAATTAGAAGTTGAAAATTACGGTGTACGATAATGTAAATTGTTTAATATAGAAACGGATGCTTGCATAAAAATATTTCAAGTATAAGATAACAAAAATTATTTAAATAAAGAAACACAACAATATATCGTTAATGGAATCTACAGTTAGTTGTTATATTTTAGGAATATATAAAATAATTCCAGTAAGTCCTAATATTACAAAATTTTATTTTTAAAAACTGTCATCGTTATATTTTAAAGAGCTCTTCAATAAAACTCTTATATTTATTTTTATCCTCAATCACAAACTGAACTGTCACAAATTTTGAAATCATTTGCTTCAACAATATATTTGTTAAACAATTTTTATGTTCAAGAATATAAACCGAGTATTTTAATACTTTAGTGTCAAATTTTTTAAAAGTGAAGTTAACCGGAATTTACTTTGAACGATCCCTATTTTATGTATGATAATATTGTGATATATATATACGTATAATATGAACATTCTCTTGCCTTGAGTCAAACTTTTAATTTTATTTTTGTCTTTTTTTTTTTTTTTCATGTTTTAAAGAAAGGCTAAGAAATTTAATAAATTAAAATTATATTTTAATGCTTGACCATTCGAGGAGACATAATTAATAGAAATTATGTACATATATTGCTAAAAACGAAATTAATGAAAATTCTATTCCTATATACTAATTACGAAATTAACTCAGCAAATAATATACATAAAAAATATATATATATATATCTATATATATCTAGAAATAATGTCTAAGTTTTGAAATAAAAATTAATTACTTAAAGATATTATGTATAAACAGAAAGTGTGAAATTCGAATGAAATTCCCTTATATTAAAAATTATAATTTAAGAATATTCAAAATTTTGTTTCTCTTAAGGTTTGTTTATTTAAGCCAACATTTCCATACAGTATATGTATACTAGGAATTTCAATGAGCATTACAACATCTTTTCGAAATATTTTAGTATTCATTTATTTTAATATTAATTAGTAATGTTAACAAAACAAGATGAATTTTTTATATTGTTATACTGCGATTGCATTAACTATAAATTTTCGAATAAACACAAAATGGCTTAAATTAAAAAATAGTTTTTTTAAAAAAATTATGTTAAATATATTATATGTATAAATGTTAATAACACAAAAAATATCATAAAATCTACGTAGTATTCGAATTCTATTAAAAATAAAAGCTATACTTAAATCGACATAGGCAATTATTGCTCATAACAACAAAAGTAATCATGCCTGTTTTCATATATTTTTATTTTAATTAATTATTTTTGAAAATAATTTTTATGGAATTTTAAAAAATAATTATGAACAATAATTTTAAAATTTATAATACCCAATTATATTCCTTCTTAAATAATTTTTTAAGTAGATACAATTGATTCAAGGTTGCATAATATTATCATATTTTTAAGAAAAACTTTATTCTATGAAGGATATAAATTTTAGTGACTTATCAAAAAAAATAAGAAAAATGTTCATTTACGCTGCTATACACACAAGTCGTATAAATACATTTATGTTATACTAACATTAAAAGTATTATATTTTAAAAACACACAAACATTCAAATATTTAGGAAAAATGGTTCTGTTTAAAAAATAGAAGAGAAAGACAAAAAGAAAATATTTAAAAACCTTTAAAAAAAGCTTATTTTAATGATTTTCTTAAAAATTATGCAAATTTCCTTGTAAATATTTTGACTTATGCATAATTCTTAATATATTATATAGAAAAAACATTATATACTTATTTACTACAAATATGTATATACTATGGTATATAATATAACGTGTGTGTATATCGTTATTATTTAAATATTTTACAATATTTTGTTCGCTTTTCCGCTTTTGGCATGCATGCTAAAAAGTTTACTTTTCATTTAAAATAGAAGACATTATTAATTTAAAAACAATTTAACTAGTTTCCTCTTTCATTTTGTTTTATTACGTTTTTTCTCTTTAATTCTTTTAAAAAAATTTTTGTTAATTGAAAATTTATTATGACAAATTTTAAAAGTAAAAGTTTAAGTATGCAATTATAATTGCATGTGAATTTTAAAGGTATTTAAAATTGTATATGTGTATTTAGTATTTTATTGTCATAGTAATAATCCTTGACAAAAAAAAAATTTATTTAAACACAACTTTTAGTAATTATCCTTAAGCATTTAATTTACATAAAAGTAAAAAGGTACAAGAGTAGGAAAGACTCAAAAAATTACGTGCACGATATTTGAAATTCATATATTGTTTTTTTTTGTATTGGAAAGTGTATTGTCTAGTTTAGCAAAAATGTTGCACAAATGCCTTTAAAGCACTTCTTTCAAAATGTAATAAAACAAGTAAAAACGTTTCAGTCGGTATAAACCGATTGAATTATACCCTGCACCTTTCGTTATTGTGTAGCAATTACTCGAACCTGTGAAGTCATTCTATAGAAACTTCACGGATATGTCTGACTTATAATTGGACACCCGACTGCCAAGTTTCATGAATCTGACTTTATAATTTTTCCAAATATTTAAAATTAGCTTTTGGAGTTGTATGGCAAGTGCCTGAACCTGTCAAACAATTCTATCAAAACTTCACAAATATATCTGATCTATAATCGGACACACAACTTAAAATTAGCTTCTGGAGTTGTATGGCAGGTACCCGAACCTTTCAAGTAATTCCTCTAAAACTTCACAAATATATCTGGTCTATAATCGGACATCCAACTGCCAAGTTTCATGAATCTGACTTTATTATTTTTCCAAATTTTTAAAATAAGCTTTTAGACTTTAATGGGAGCTACTCGAACTTGTCAAGCAATTCCTCTAAAACTTCAGAAATATATCTGACCTATAACTCGACACAAAACTGCCAAGTTTCATGAATCTGTCTTTATTATTTTTCCAAATATTTAAAATTAGCTTTTGGAGTTGTATGGCAGGTACCCGAACCTGCCAAGCAATTCCACTAAAACTTCGCAAATATATCTGATCTATAATCGGACATCCAACTGCCAAGTTTCATGAATCTGACTTTATTATTTTCCCAAATATTTAAAATTAGGTTCTGGAGTTGTATGGCAGGTACCCGAACCTGTAAAGCAATTCCTCTAAAACTTCAGAAGTATATTTGACCTATAATTGGACACATGACTGCCAAGTTTCATGAATCTGACTTCATTATTTTGCTGAATATAAAAAATTTGCTGTTGGAGTTGTATGGCAGCCACCCGAACCGGTGCAGCTATCCCATTATAATTTCTAGAGCATGTGTAGAATATAATTGGACACATGTATACAAAATTTTATATTTATAGCTTTATTAGTTTTTGAAATATTTAAAATAAACTCTTTGAGTTGTATGGCAGCTACCCGAACCCGTTGTCCGAATTAGTCCAATAACAATAGGGCTCGTCCTTGGCACAAAAGAAAAAACTTGTGAAAGTTTTGTGTCGATTGCATTATTCGTTTTTGAGTTATCGTGCGATCGGACGGACGGACGGACGGACGGACGGACGGACGGACGGACGGACGGACGGACGGACGGACAGACGGACATGTCTAAATCGACGCAGAATTTTACGCTGAGCAAGAATATATATATATGTCCATACCGCAGATGACTCCTTCAAGTAGTTACAAACTCCATACCAAAGTTAATATACCCTTCACGAAGTGCAGGGTATAAAAATGCTAAAAAACTGTAAATATGCTTCTTAGAAAAATTCACTTTATATCATACGAATTCCCTTAGAAGTTTGCCAGTTAGTTCTGGTAGCAAAAAGAGCTCAAATATTTAATTAAAAGAGCTCCTTCAATATTACTTCCTTAAATATTATACAATATGTAAATTCGGTCCCTAGTATGGTTTCCTAAAACTGAGCGTTCCAAATAATTTACAAGCTCATTGTTTTAATACCTTACAAAAATATGCAAAAATGTAAAATCAGACTGAAAAATAATTCAGTTCTCGTCACATGCCATAAAGCAAATGTTCACCCTCAACGATACCATCAAAATAATTTCATATATAAAATTTTATCAAAATCGGTTCAGCTGAACTTGAGATACAGGCCGACTAACATACCGACATCTCTCTAAAAATAATTTATTTACGCTTTCTTAGCATTTCCACTGAAAATTCCAAATATGAAATTTGTTGATATCACTTAATCTCCCTTATTGTATGCAATGTGATCGGTAATAAGCGGTGAAAATTATTATGGTTTTGTATGGTGACACAAATTCTGCAATAATTTCAAGAAAATTTCTTTAAGGAAATCCTTAAATTCTAATTAAACTTCATGATTATAAATCGCGATATTATTTTATTTAATTACAACGAAATAGACGGTTGATAGTTTTCAGTTAAATATTAATTTCCGTTTCTTTATAGAAATTCTTATAGACTTAACTAAATTAAATCAGTAAAATCGCGTATTATGTATATTACTTTAATTTAAGTTACTACATTTAATACAAAGGAAATAATTTTACTTACACAAGTTATAATTTGCCACAAATTTAAATTGTATTGGAAGTAATGTCTTTGCAATTGAAAATGTCATTTACAAGTTAGTTGTAGTCATTTCAGTCTTCGATATTCCCATTGTAATAAAATGTATACTATATAATTAAAAATCAATTAAATAAACAATTTACATTTTTTTAATTATAATTTTAATTTCAGTCGTTTGAATAAGATTCTAAAACAAAATAACAAAACAATATTTAACAAATTTTTTATAAAATGTTTAACAACTCATCAGTTTCATCAACTAGAGCTATATAAATGATTTTAAAATACACTAATATTTGTATCTATATCTGTATCTCTTGATAGTTCTATATTGATATCCATCATCACCCAAAATATGAGCTGGTTCTGGTTCAGATTCTTCAAGAGGTGCTGAAGCTATAGCATCAGAAGAATGTGAAACTGGAGCTAAATCTTCTGGTGATGGTGGTATTGGGGCTGCTGGAAGTGGAGCTGGTGCAAGTGCTTCGGATTGACCAGCAGGTGGTAAATATGAGTTGGCAGGTGCTGCTGCAGGAGCAGCTGCTGAAGGAATTACTTCTTCATGTGAATGAATTGGAGCAGGAGCGGGAGCTGGAGCTGGGGCTGGAGCTGGTGCAGGAGCAGCTGGTGGTAAATATGAAGGAGCTGGTGCTGCTGGTGCAATTGCAGCTGGAATTACGTCTTCATGGGTATGTATTGGAGCTGGAGCTGGAGCAGGTGCAGGAGCAGCAGGTGGTAAATATGAGGGTGCTGGTGCTGCTGGTGCAACTGCAGCTGGGATTACTTCTTCGTGGGAATGTATTGGAGCAGGAGCTGGAGCTGGTGCTGGTGCTGGGGCAGGAGCTGCTGGTGGTAAATATGAAGGAGCTGGAGCTGCTGGTGCAACTGCAGCTGGAATTACATCTTCATGGGTATGTACTGGAGCTGGAGCTGGGGCTGGTGCCGGTGCGGGAGCGGGTGCAGGAGCAGCTGGTGGTAAATATGATGGTGCAGGAGCTGGAGGTGCTATAGCTTCTGGTTCTACATGATGATGTTCATGAGTAGGCTGATCATAATGATATCCTGAGCCAGTCAAATGAGAAACATCTGCATAAACTGAGCCAACAATAACTAGAGCAACTATAACGAATTTCTGAAATAAAAATTTTTCATATTTTTCTTATTAATATTTTTTTCTCCATTATTATTCAATTTAATCCTTTACAATCAAATAATAATATGTTTTACCATTTTTGTAAAAATTTTTGTTAATTTGCTTTAATTCTGATGAATTATACTGATGAATTGATACAAAACTTAGTTATACCATCGATATTTATACTGAACTAAAATATTAAAGATTTAATGCAAAGTAATGACCTCTAACTTTATTTAACTCTTTTGAATATCTAATGAAAAATTAGTTCAAAACCTAAAATTAACTCTAAAATCAAACAAAAAACTTAAATAAAAATGTTTTAATTTTTTGAAATAAAAATTAATTAATTACATATATAAATACACCAAGTGCCCTCTTTTTCAATATTGCAACTAACCATATAATCTTTGATGCTATGATACACGTTTTTTTAAAATAGTAATTAATTTAAATAAAAAAACAAAACACAACCAACCAACAAACGAGCAGCATTAAAAACTAATTTTTGAATTTTTTAAATTTAATTAAGTAATTTTTTTAAGAGAAACATAATCATACTGATTAATACAACACATTAATGAATTAATAAAACTTTAGTTTTGCGAATTGATAAATTATACCAAAAGATGGCGAATTAACAAATTGGTATTTTTGGAATTTCATATACTCGTGTATGTGTTTTGAATTATTTGTGCATAAAAAATTTGTGTTTTGTTGAATTACGAAAAAAAAAACTGTTACGAGTAAAAAATTTTTCTATATGAAATTTATTTTTGTTCATCTTGGTTTTTGTGATTTTTGAAATCTTTTCAACGGCATACCGTATAATTAAATTTGTTATTGTTATACATAGAAAAAATACCTTTCCTACGTGTTCCAGTTCTCAAATGAGCAGTTCAATGAAAGACGAATAGATAGATGGACTCAAAATCTAGCTCTGAACGAGAATACATCTGTCGTGAACACTAGAACTGAACATTAACATAGGTCTGCGCAACCCATATACCTATACAATGTTTCAAGTATTAAAACCTTCACACCCTATTTCTATCATTTCAGTTGATGGAAATAAATTGGTTCCAGTAATTTCAAAATTGGTTCCAATACGTTTTCAGGAAATTCCAGCTTAGAGTAAAGTTTGGAGCACATTATCAATTTTATTTTGTACAAATAATTTTTTTAACATAAAATTTCTAAATAATATATGAAGTCTGAAAGTCTCGAATTATTTTTTTGTAGTTTTGAATTTTTAAATTTTAATATTTTCAATATTTCTCTTATTCTCATAATCTTTATTTAAAGAGATCTTATAATGCCTACCAGCTGATTTAAAATTGAAATCAATTTGTTATTTTTGTTTCCATTTTATTTTTAATGTATGTATAATGATTTATGATTTGTGCAAAGATTACAGAGGTTGCTGCCATGCACATATTTAATAATAAATTTTATTTTTATAACTGATTAGATTATTATTAGTACAAACCCTTCGAAAAATTTAAATAATATAAAATTCGTAGGTCAACGCTAATTTTCAATTTGAATTTTAAATGATTTGTGAACGAACTTCGTTTTAATTTTTTCTTCATTCATTCATTCATTCATTGGTTCATTCATTTTATATTTTGTATATTTTACGATTAATTTACTCATACATATATATGTGTATATGTTTTTTTAATATTATGAAATAATTTTTAAATTATTAAAAAAGCAAAAAACCTACATAAATGATATGTAAAAAAAAGAAATCGAAATTTTTTTTTATTATAAAATTTTTAAGATTTGTTTTTTTTTTATTATTATCTGTTAACATATTGAAGAATTATAACTGTTTTATAATAGGCATTCTATCAATATTACAATATTACATTTGCATATACATAGGTTTTGTTTACATGTACGTGCATTCGAAGACGTTTGTCAAACTTAAAAAAAAAATCTCAGTGGGAGTAAGATCGAATGTTATATGAAATTACAAATTTTCTATTGAGAATATTAGTCAATGTCTTCTCAAGATTATAAAAAAATATGATTTTACAAATATAATAAATTATCGCTTAAAAAAACTATAATTTAAACATTATGGCTTATAGTAGACATTATACAAATTAACAAAATATATTGAAAGTGTTGACAATAAATGAAAATTTTTTTGACAATCTCATTTAAATTTTATTTATTTATAGTTTACAGTTTTTTAAATAATTATTGGTTTTAAAATTGAATACTCATCAGTAAATAAACCAGTATGCTCTGGAAAATCATCGCAAGCAGACTCAACAACGTTATTGAAATCACCATGGAAATTAGCCGTCAATTACCGAAACTTTAGAATATTCCAAGGTTCTTATGCCACAAATGATCGTATTTGATCGTGATCGTATTTATTTAAGTAAGGCATCTATAGAAATGGGGCTATCTTTCATATATTATATTCACAAAATGATGAAATAAAACTAACATATCAATGAAATGTGTATTCTGAAGAAGAAAATATGGTTGCGTTCGTTCACAGTCCGCCCGTATAACATTGAGCTTTTAACGGGAAAAAACCATTTTATCATACTTTAAAGGATTTTACCCTTATTATCAGGTATACGAGTATATTTTCCGGGTATATACAAACTTTATTACGTGCCAACATCCTATAAAATATAATGCGAGAACTCGTACTAGTATCGGTGCAAATTAATTTCCATTATGATTAGTGAATTCCTTAAAAATATGCTGACATGACATGGCATAACCGACATAACCGACATAATGAATTTATTGAAAACTAAATTTGTATCTTAATAATAGGGTAATATTATACATGACAGGCAGCTATATTTCTGTTGTTTCTGTTGTATTAGCATATTTTTATTTCAAAGTTTAATACGGGCAAAAGTTAAACTATAGTACTTATAATAAACTGTCCCGTTTTTTACAAAATAAAATATTTTTTTATCTTCATATAAATCAAATAAACACAACAAATCAATTTACAAAATTAATTTTCATAATTTTATGAATTCAAGTTGCTCGCCACAAACTCTTAAGCAATATTTAATCTATTATTGAAATTTTAATTGCAATTTAAAAAAAAAACATCATTCAAAAAATTTAATCAAAATTAAGGTTAAAAAAAAAAAAAACCGCAATATTATGAAAAGATGTAGAAAGCAAAAAACAAACATTGAAAATTTGCATTATTGAAAATTTTAAAATTTCGTTTGGCATTTAATCTATTTTGTTAATGAGGTAGCTAATGATAATGTCAAAATAATATTATTAATTAAATAAAGAAAAATTAAAGCGACATCATGGGCACGGCTTTAAAGATGTGATGAAATCAACAATTATCCAAAAAAAAAAAAAATAAATATGTCAGTATAAAAAGTTTCTGTAAAACTTATATGGAAAACGACAAATCAAGTAATAGTGCCGTAAATATATTTTTTTACATATTTTTGGAATATTTCAAAAAATACGCAAGCTTTTCTAACGCAAGCTCTCCAATGAGTGGGATTGGAGATGCAAGATTCACTTTACTTCAACTGCTAAAACCAACCAAACCTATGGGGCTCCAGTGTTACATATTTATACATTTTTGGACCCCATCGAATTGTGAGTCGATTTAGCAAGGATGTTTTCGATTCCAACAATAACGTAAAGCAAATGATTTCTTCAAATGAGTTATTATGGTAAAAGCGAGAATCCTATTTAACTTATGTGTAAGTGCTATCAGGATGATGGTTCAAGCAGCTGTTCAAATACAACTACAAAAATAAAAGTTATAAATTTTTTGGAAATAAATTTATTACTCAACAAATTTTGCCATCACTCTTAAAAACTTTAGTAGCAATTGTTTCAGCTCTTACGGTATTCATTAGTACAATTTAAAGGATCTTGTATAAAGTGTAAGCAAATTCCACTTAGAGTGGAAAACATTGATAGAAAATTCAAACAACTGAAAAAATAATTTCATTAATAAGGGTTTCTCCTTATCAAAATTTCAATTAAATCTTCAACTACAATTATTCTACTTTGTATTAGTATTACAAAAATTTCCAAAAGCAATACATACATAATTAAATAAAAAAATTTTCTTATTTTCTATTTCTTTTAATCTATGGAATGTATAATATTAAATAATCTTATCAAAATAAAACTTTTGAACAGACACTAGGGCACTCACTCAGTGAACTCGCATTAATTGGAAAAACAATTCCACCTTTTAATAGCAGCATAATTTATGTTTATTTATTCTATGAAATAATAAAAGCCAATCATTCAAAAAAGAGAAGAAAAATAAAAGCAATCAAAAATGAAAAATATTTTTCCGAAATCAATAAATTTAAACACCATGCATGTCGGCTTCTAAAGATTTAATTACCAAAAAAGGAATTGAAAATAATCTTTAAAAAAAAAAATTGTTTTGTAGTTTTATTTCTTTTTAGTTTTTTTTTTTAAGTATTTAACCATTAACAGATCGTAATACGATAGAGTCCACTTCATCTCAACCATCCCTAAATTTTAAATGTTTATATAGAAAAATTGTTTATGGATTGTTTATAATTATTATAACTGGGGTGCATTAAAAAAAATCGTAAATCTTTAATTCTTTGAAATTATCCGAATTTCAGATAAAAATTATTCATCATTGCATTTCTGATATATACGAGTATATACCAATTGTAAAATTGAAAATATTTAAAATTTTTAAAAAATTTGTCTGTCTTAATATTTTTAGTTTTAATTAGTAACATGTTCATTACAAAGAATTTTTGAATATTACTAGTTTCCTTTAATCCGGCAATAAAGTTTCCTCGTGTTTACCTTGTAGAATAGATAAATTAATGAGAGCCGTTCGGCTGCCCTGATTACGGCAGTTATTAAGCCTTATTATGAAATAACTACAACAAATTACAATTGTGCGCCACACCAATAGAGTACTCAAATCCATAGATTTAAAAAAATCTCCACCAATTGCTTTCTACTGAATGTTTCTACAAAATGTACTCCATGCAACACAAGTCACTATTTTTGTGTCACTTAGAGTTTATTACCTTTTATAAAGCGTATGCACGAAAAACACCGTCGAAATTACAGCTGACGAAAATATATCAAAGAAATACAAAACATAAGTACATCACCTTTTTGTTTGAAATGTTATATCTCCTTCACAATGATTTACAAAATACAAACATCATTTTTTAAATTTTTTATTTAAATACACGCGTTCCTTAACAATAATACAAAATCAATTGAAAAAATTATTGAAATACAAAAGCAAAAAAAAAAAGAAACAGCAATTTTTATGACTTGCGAATATTTTTATTATGGCATTCATAAACGATTTCGAATAGTTTCAAATGACCTACTAAATTCAGATTTGTATAGATACAATTTGATTGAAATCAAAATCTTCTCACTTTACACATTTTTACTTTCGCTCAAATATAAAAAATTTTTTTATTCACTGCAATACTATTCACGTTTACATATTTTTTTTTTTCGTTTTTCTATATAATTTTAATTAAGTGATGATTCAATTTCACAGCGGAATTCAATTCTAAACAATTTGAATTGTGAAAAAAAATTCTTCCCATAATGAAAAATTTTATGTATGCACGCGTTCATTTAACCTATTAGCATAAAAAATTTTAGTGTATAAATAATTTCAGTACTCGTCTATAACATAGTATAATAGAATTTAAAGAAATTTATATGATAATTAATTCATATTTGAACTACAAGCTTTAACTCTAATACAAAAGAAACGGTTAAAATATAATAACATTATTAACTGAAAAAAAAAATATTATTTATCACAATTTCTTAGAATAGAGAGAATTTTTTTTGGTCGTGCAAACAGGGCATTGCCTGAAAAAGACCAAAGAGTCGCTACGATGGATGTCTGTTGAAGATGTCAGGATATTGCAGAAATGGAGGATGTGGAACATGTTCTTTGTGCCTGTCCGTCTCTGATATGGAAATGCAAGCGTATTCTAGGGGTTTTTCTTTATGATGACTTGCAGGACCTGTCAGGGGAATCTTTGGGGTGACTTTTGAGAAGGAATTTAATTGCATCTGGTAGATGGTTTTTACCATCTGGTAAATTAGATGGTGGTGTTACCGATGGGCCTTCTTGTTGGCTTCCTTGTGAGTGCCAAGGCGGGTCTCCTTTTCTTACTACTACTACTACTACTACTACTACTACTACTACTACTATTACTACTACTACTAGAATTGAGAAAATTATACTCTCCATTTTAAAATATATTTAAAAAATAAAAAATTTTGTTTGAATTATTTCTACAATAATTAATTATATAATATTTTACATATGAATTATTATTAAGAGAACTCATAATTTATCAAAAGAATTTCAAATATAATTCCTAAACAAAAAATTTCTCATATCGTGGTACATTTACCATATAAAAGACTTGGAAGTACCAAGATTTTTTCATATGAAAGTAATAATTTTTAGCTCATTGTATTAAAAGACAAATGTGAAATTATGGATGAAATATGAAATTATAAATGAAAATTGACTGGAATTTTCAAACCAAGGTATATTTACTCAAGAAGCACAATGATAATTGTCTTGGAAAATACTTTGGTACATCATGGATTTATAGAATTATGGAATTTTTGGAGAGTTTTCAAATGGTATACGTAAAATTTTCCAAATTTTTTCAATTGGAAATTGTATAATACGCAATCAGAATTTACATTTTCTAAAATTCTGTTCATGCATTTGGTGACTGTGCTTTTATGATCCATAAACAAAATAATTTTATGTAATAAAACTGTCTGGTATAATTTTAAATACTTAAATTTAGTATCAGCATTTTTGAAAATTCCCAGCTATAACTAAAATACTTTTTAATTTCTTGATTCTCTTTTTACATCAATTTATAATATTAAATATTTACAAACCAAAAAGCCACAAATATCCGTTCTTATTATTCATCGTTAATCAACACTTAAAAAAAAAGTTTTTTTTTTTCTCATTTTTTTTTTCAAATGAAGGCAGAACCAGTTGAATACTCGTAACCATAAGCATGAAAAAATTTTTTTGTTTTTAAAAACTCATTACTTCACACTTTATATGAATACGCAATGTAATTTTACAATGTAAGTTTTATTCAAAAACAAAATTTTTCCCCCTTCTTTTATATTGGGTTTTTGTTTTGTGTTTCAAATGTCCCAATTCATTTTGTTAAAAAACAAAAAAAAAATTTATAAAAGAAAGGGTATTAAAAAAATCACATAAAACAAAGAAAAATGTGTAAAGATGTGAAAACCAAGAACTCTAATTTTTTTTTTATGAATTTCTTCTTATTTTATTAAATTACAATTAACTACCGCCACCGCTTATCTTTTAAGAATAGTAAAATGCTCCAAATTTTTTTTTTGTTCACTTAAAATTTGGTGTATTCATCATTGAATGGTTGCCTTTATTTTTTCGAGCTACACATATAGGCACAATAAAAATTTTTCAAAATTACGATAATACTTTCATCTCTACAGTTAGTTTTTGGATAAACAAAAGATGACTAATGACATATAGATAAATTAATTTAAAAAATTATAAAGGTTGGTATAACAAGTAGAAGAACCACAGTAAAACTATTTGTATAGGATATATAAAAAAAAATTTAAGCAGTAATTAAAATAATGGGAAATGAATTATAAAGAGAGAAAATTCTACATATACGATTCCGTTTTGGAAGACCCCTAATATACTAAATAATATAACAGATTCTTTAAAACATTTAAGAAAATGTGAAGGTTGTATTATTTTTCAATGAACTGAAAAATATTTGATCACAAATTAAATTATTCTCTTAAAACACCCACATTTAATTTTATGCTATATATTCTTTTGTAAGAAAGCATGTTATGCAAGATAATGTATAACACCGTACGTAACATTGTTTACTGTTCATCGAATTTTTAAGACTATAAAGAATTTTTGTCTATATGAAGAAGAATCTTGTTGGTTAAAAAATATTGCTACTCAATAGCTTCTAAGAACACGTTTCTGATTATCGGAATTATAATGTATAGATGATGGACATAATAGTAACCTACTATGAAATATTGAAAAACTTCGGTTAAATTACAATAAGAACGTTTCTTTTCTTAAAGCAAGTCTACAAAAATATTTTAACAAATTAACCGAGAAAAACTTGTTTTATTAATTCTTAATCAGAAAAATCTTGTCAGACTCATAAACTATTTGATCAAACCAGTTTGACATAATTTCAATTCATTTCAAATTTATTATACAATTGAATTGTGTTAAATTTGAATAATTTTATTGTTTTTAATTTTTCTTTATTAAATAAATATTGCAAATAAAAAACTGAATTTAACAGAAAAAAAAACTAAAATTATGTTATTCATCAAATTATTATAAAATTTTTCATTTTAAATTTTTATTAAATTAATATTTAGCCAAAATATATCGTTTCATATTATTATTATGCTGATTACTAAATTATTTATATGCAAAACCCACTAGATACACTTTGTTTATGCTAATTTTCAAATTTGAAATGCAAATATTTATAAAAATAATTTTTTTTTTTTTATTTTATTAGCCTCAAATATTAAATTTATTATTTAAAAATATACAAAATATAATGTATAATAAAACTAACAAAAAATGGCAATACGGCAATACACAAAATATCCCTTCTAATAATATTTGCTCACTTTTCATAAATGAATTGATTTTAATTTTAATAAAACATTATATAAATATTAAAAAATATATATATATTTTCAAAAATAATTTAATTTTGAGTCTCTAATTCTCTTTCATTTCAAAATTTTATTCGAATATTTCAAAAATTTAATAATATAAAAGTTGATGTAATAATATACAAACACACTCTTATATGCAAATTTTGCTGTTTTTTGTTCTGCAATATAATTTATATGAAATTTTATGTGATTTTTATTTTATATACACGTTCCATAATTTTAAAATTATAATATATTATATATTCTTAATTATAGATTTTGGGTAATTTCCTAGAGGATTATACAGTGAAACTAATATTTTCTTGTTTTCTAAAATCAATCAAAAACTTTAATATTAAATTTGTAAAATATGCTCGAATATGCGTACAAACATATGCATAATACAGAATACTATGAAAATTTATTTATTTTAAAGGTTATAACTAAATATTAAATAGATTATTTGAGTCCCAAAAAAAATTTTTTT